TAAATGAGTCTTAAACATAAAATTGAGAATAGACTATTAACATTTTACACTACTTACAATCTGATCAGTCTAGCCGTCATCTAAGTAAAATAAATATGTGATAGATGGAAGAAAAATAATTAGGAGTAACATTACGCATTTTAGTGTAAAATAGTTAACGTAACACTGCCATCGATCGCTTTGAACTTTATTAACACATGTGTTGCAATTTACTTTTAAAAATTAATTTAAATAATAATTGTACATGTTATTGTTTACCTTAATTTAGGTATTTAAGTAAAAATTATATGTACAGTCTTAATGTTAATATTTAAAATATTAAATCATTATTGAACACGAAAAATTATTTCAAAAAAATTATTTATTAAAAAAATTTAATAATAAATCTTTACCCTAATAGTACAAAGTAATTAAACCTCCATTTTTGACATATTTCATCATTATTTTCATCAATCATCAAATATCCTTTTAATATTTTATACACACACAAACATATTATATATGTATACATATTGCATATTTTATATTATATTAACAAGGTAGCTTACTGTTTTATCACACGAAAAAATTAAAAAATTACATTATTACTGTTGAAAATAATCATCGTTTTGATTTATTAATTTAATATATTTTTAGAAAAATATTTAAACATTTATCAGCGATTTTTTCATACCGTATTAAACTAAGATAATAATAGTATGAACAGAAACTGACCACATTGACATTAGCATGCATAGAACTGTCAAAAAGAAACTTAACACGTATTTTTCTATACGTATTATAATATATATTTCCACACACTTAACGATATAGTATTATACATGTACGTAGTATATATATATTATAAATGTTCTAGGGTACATATTGATAATCGATATTTTTTATGTATCTCGATTATAAAATTTTCACTCATATTTATCTATTGCAGACTATATACATACTTTGATATTTACGATGAATCCAAAAAAGAAACCATTACCGACGACCATTTTCATCGAGGTTAACACTGAATACAAATCAAACACTCCTCTTCTCGACTTAAACTCTGTAACACACGCACACATACCCGTATGTACGATAATGATTGCTACCCCGTCGTATAAGGCGACGGTGAATATGTGTATGTGTTTAGTGTAATACACACGCTAGCACGATAGCAGGGTGCGAATTACTGTCGGCCATATTGCATTGTTTATATGACGGGTCTCAGGCCTTGTCTTTGGGTATATAATTTAATATGATACCGAAAGTTTATCGTCATCCTTGTTCGGTAAATCCAACTGCCCTACCACCGAAATAAATTTCAGTCACTAGCTCATTTCAACTATCTTTTTCTGAATGCAACACCACGCATTCAAATTGGTGATAAAAGCAAAATATGCGAGCAATCCATACGATCATTAAGCTATTTATTACATGGCAATGAAAGGGTAAAATTTAAAATTTGTGCGTAAAAATTTCTTATTTCCTGTTGGAATTTAAACACCAGATATCAAAATGATTATAATATTATATGTGTAGGTTTTTCTAAGTATATATAGTTCATGCACAAACAGCTGTCTTATATTTTGGTTGACAAAATCAATTGTATTTGATTTATGATGGTTTTTTTTTCATTTTTACAACAATATTATTTTTAATTTTTATAATTTTTAAACCCATTTTAATATGTGTAAACATTTTAAACATTTTTATTGTTTTGAATATATATTAATAAAAGTTTGTCTTTTGTGTTTAATATATATTATATTCCAACAATTAAACAAGTGAGCCCATTTGCTGATTCTTGAATGAGTGATCATCTGGAAATTTTACCAATACACACATCATATCCTACCTAACCATAATCATCAATATACAAATATTATCTATCTAAAAATTTCTCCTAACATGAAAAAAAAAAATTACGCATAAACTACACATTTATGAATACTTTAAATTTTAAAAATATTTATTTATTTAATAATCTATAAATATTATAGTAAACCGAGTGCAGTAACTACATATTATTTTACATTAGGTACGCTTAAAATGTATAATTGATAACAAATAGTTGCATGATCACTACGTTACTATTCACTAATAAGTTTTTCGTATTAAAAGTTTTATTAGTCAAATTCTTTACCACCATTAAACAATTAACAACCCACGAGAGTTCTAAAAACTTCACTTTGCTGTTACGTTTCAACTGATTAAACATCCCCAACTCAAATATGACAACCTTTTGAATTAATTACAAATACTAATTTACATAGGAGACGTTCTTTAATACCCCTTAGAATTTGAACATTTTTGTATAACTATAGTATAAATAGTACTTACAGTATTTTTATTGTTTGACTTAATATATTTAATAATATAATAAGTACTTACATTTATTATGAATTATTCGATATGCCATTATTTAAATAAAACTAAATAATTTTGCTTTAAATAATATTATGTAAATATATTTAATTTTTAATGAGCTGAAAAAATATTTTTAAATATGTTCAACTTTTGCTGAATATATTGCGTTAACCATGTATACTTGACATTTAGAGATTTTCTTACGTGTCGAGACTCTATTATATTAAATTCTAAATTTAGGATTCAAATTGGTTAAAACATTTTCCAGACCTCAAGAATGTAAACTTTAATGCATATTTTTGTGTTCTGTTATACATTTAAAGTTAATATATTTTATTAAACATTTCATTTACTTTTTGAAATTTTTTTTTTTTGTTGTATTATATTAACTAAAAATAACTTATTTATAAATGTAAAACATAAATTTTAAAGACTAATTATTTAGATAATTTAAAAATATTTTATGTTATCAACATTTAATCATATTAACCATATTAAAATATAATTTGACTTCTTTATTCAACAAAAAAATATGATTTAAATCAAATCGTATTCGTGATCACTGAATTATAATTATTTACGTTAAATGCCAATGAGTTAGGTATAATATTATAATATTTTAAGCTTTCATATTAAAGTATAATTTTCATTGATTCTTTAATATTTCCTCTAACACAATATTTTATAATATTATCATTAATCAAAATAACTGTTTACAAATCAATATTAGTAGCTGATTATATACATCCATTAATTAAATTTGCTTTTGTACTACGCATTATTTTCCATAGACACTTTTATGAGTTTTTATAGTATGTTGTGGTTCGATAGAAATATAATCCAATCTACATTATAGTATACAAGAAATTGAAGAGTAATCTAAACATAGTACAACTTTATCTGATTATCAAGTGATTCCCAAGTGTTCTTGTATGCAAAACTTTATGAATTTGTCATTTACAATGATGTATTATGACTAAACATAGAAGATTTATTTTTTGTTATTATTTTAAATTATATTACTGTTAATATTTATACCGCCAATACTTGAATCACTCTGTATAAAGTCTCTTAATATGAACTTAAGTGAACTTATACATTAAAATCAGGTAAATGTTAGTAAAATCATTTGAAAATGAATTAAGATAAATGGTAGTAAAATCTTCAACAGTTTTTTAAAATAATTATTGATATATTTATATCAATAAGCATAAATAGAAAATAAGTAAATTTCAATCACATATATCTATCATAAATCAAGTCACCACAATATCATCATAATTTCAATTTGTCTAATATACCTTTTTTTAAACTAGTAAAACTCAATAATTGGCAGCTATTGAATATTTTAAAGTAATATCCGACATCCATAAATGATAGGATATATTGAGTAAGTACCTATTACTCTACCTCAATAATTGTTTGCTAAACTCCTGAGTCAACTTGCTGCCAATGAGTTATACTATTAAAGAACCGAAAAATTGAAATCACCTACAGATTGTCAACAGATTTCAGAGACGGCCATCGGGGCTAACTTCTACGGCCACCAAAGCCAACTATTTGCAATAAATTCATTACTGCTGGGAAATCGTATGCACAAAAATAATTTAATAGCAAAACCGTGTATACTTTCTTGCACGATTTTTGCAGCACCAATGGTTTCCAGTCTAAAATAGAATCGATGACAACAATGACCCACGACTACAATTTAAACCTACTTGAATTATGTAGCGACTGATGATGTTCTTTACTAAGTATTTGATAACAAACCTACTCTACCCGTTCATAGTTTATATGCATATTTATTATTGAATTTATTAGCTTTCTATGATCTACACAAAACATATAATAATATCTATAACAATACGAGTGAAATCAATAACAATATATTATATCACAGTAGCAGTTGTTCAAACTAAGTCCGTATTATTATTATTATTATTATTATTATTATTATTATTATTGTGACATTATTGTTTATTGCATTGAATGTTAATATAAATTCATTGAATTTCCATGCCAATAATTTTAGTCGACAAAAACTATTCCTGTGTAGGGTTTAAATCCATTAAGTCTTAAGACATAGGTATATTAAAATGTATAAAATTTATAACTATTGGAGTTATTTTCAAATGACAAACTTTAAATATTTTTATTCTCTTAGTCTATGTGATTTATTAGGAATGCAATTTTATTCATCCCCGACTATTTGTATAAAGTGTTTAAGTTTTATTACTGTTTTAAAAAGGTTTATAGAGATGATAAAAATTGCATTTCCTTATTTGTGTTACCGATAAATTATACTTTATTTAAATGTATTTGGTATGATTTATTTTCTAATACAATTTTAAATCATACTATTATTTTAATCTCATAAATATAATAAAATTATAGTGCAATAATATAAACAATTCAAATCGATAAATCAATCCAAGACTGTTAAATTTAACTATAGCGTTGACATATTTAAAATAACTATCCTCTAATAAATCTATAAATGTAACTAAATCTTTTACGCAATAATATATTTATAAACCTAACAAAATTAACCAAAAAATACTTTGTTAAAATTTATAAAAAAAATAGGTTTAAATTTTAATGAACTTAAAAATAATAAATTGTGTGAACTCAACTTATCAAAATACGCTTACCTTTTTACATCTAAACAAGGCGATGATAGTGATAAGATTTCCAGGCACGCCAACCATCATATAAATTACACAGCATATACTAGCAAACGTTAAGAGTGCAGGCGAATATCCTTGAAACAGTTCTGTCTCCAATTCATTTCGCCAATCGTGGTTGTTAGCAACTTCCGACACATTCTCCTGATGATAATCATCCAAACTACGGTTTTTGTCTGTTAGACCATTGTTTGCGAAAAATCGATGCATAGCCCAGTCTCTGATCATTGTGAGTTTAAATTTAAGTCATTAAGACATAACATTTAACAAACGATAAGGTTTCATGATAACCTGTAAAAAAAAACCACAAACAAAACATTTTACAACATAAAAAAAAATATTCAATATTATAAAAAAAATTTAAAAAATTATAAGAAATACTACATTTTCAAAATATTTTCAATTAAAAACTCTATTTCTAAAAACGTATTGCATTATTTTGATTTAGTTAAAAATAAATATAATTAAATAAAGAGTCTAGTATAACTTTCTGGTAAATTCGTTGTCTTTTACAAATAATTTTGTAAATCGCAGTAAAAACTATAACAATTTCCAACTAAGCTATAATATAATACATAAACATTTTTATACACATAAACGCAATAAGAGTTTTTCAACTCGAATATTTAAAGTTCTTACGACAGTTTAAACTACTAAAATTTTGAAATCCTGAAAACTTATATTCAAATTACAATCGATAAAGAGGCTTATGAACCTTTCGGATAACTATTACGGCATAAAAAAGTGATTTAAAAAAAAAACTCAAAATACGTAATTAAATATTCAAAATATCTAAAAACTAAGCTATGAATCAAAAACTTTGAAAAAAATGTTAATCTATGTAAAACATTATATTTACTATGTATTATCATTCATTCATTTCAATAAAATATAGATTAGGTATAATTTATACATTATAATAACAAAACATTTATATTTTCCTTCCAAAAAATATTTTAAACAACATATACCTAAAAAAATAAAATATATGTAAAATATTTACTGAGCAAAATAAATATATAAATTTATAGATTTTAACAGTAATACGGTGTGAAAATTAAGTACCTATCTAAACGCGTTTAAAATGAAGAATGTGTTTTAATTATATTAATTGTTCTTCACTATAGTCTAGACATTTTTTTTTTTATAATTAAATAAGTACATATATAATATACATCAAACAAATAATAAATACTATATTATGATTATTAATTTAACGATAATTCATATTATCAAATATTAATGATAAAAAACAACATTAATGAATAATGACCAACCTCCAGTAATATTTATATTGTTACGTAGTTTACAATAAAACAAAGTCATAATAATTTAAAGCAATAAAATTTAGTGTAAGTCAGGTAGGTATGCGAAAATTTATTTTTTAAACATTATAAATTGTGTACCTTCTTTGCATTATATAATTAATCTTCATCACTACGTTCTAAATAATTTTAATTTAACAATAGTTAGGTAAATATATTATACATGATATTGAAAACTATCTATACAGAAACCAACTACAATATACTTTTATCCAATATATTATTTCATATATTTTTTTTTTTTTGATTAAAAGGTGAAAAAAATTAACGGAAACAAAAACATCTATAAAAATAATGTGAATACACACATTTAATATTAAAATATTTAACACTAGTTTAGATGTAGTAATATACATTATGTTATAGCTATGACAAAGTAGGTAAATCAAATATGAAATGTAGATACTATTTTTTTATACATAATACACATCTACATACATTATTATTATGTTTGACAATTAAACTGCTTTGATACCAATGGCAAGTATTATAGTAGTAATTTAACGATGGTAGTAGATTTTTTTTGATAGCAAACTTCTTTGCACTATTGCACTACGTATAGATAAACAACTCGGAATATTTTATAGTAAATAAAAGATTGCAAATGTAAAATAAATAACATTATAATTATTACAACATATAATATATTTATACATATACTTAACGATTGCTAAGTTTTTTTTTATATAATATTAATAAAATTTCACATAGAAAATTCTATGTGCTTGAAAATAATTTTTATTTATTGTATATTCAGAACGAATACGTTTTTGAATTATGTTAGTTAATAATACTTGTTATAATAGATATTATAGCATAAAAGTCTCAAATTATGAGCAATACTAACCAAAAAAATTATATTTTAAACTTTAAATAGGCTTTCTGTACAACGAATATAAAATGTACGATTATGTCAACTTCAAAAAGTCAAAAAAATACATATTATTTACTATACACTTGACATTTTTATAATTTATCAAAAATATTTTAAATTATTTCAATATTCAAATTAAACTTATCATTATATCAGTATACCATTTATATACAATTATATTATTATATTTTTAATATATTTTGCAATTGTTATATACAATTATCATGGTAAATTTAAGGTAAATAAACCTTCTACATATTCTAACTATTTAAATTTACTTTTGTCAACTATGAATGAATTAAAACCCCAATTACACACATCAAACTGTCATTCTATGGTAGATAATATAATATAATATTTTAAAATAATGTACATAGGTACCTACAGATATACGAATACTATGAACATTTCTTAAATACCATGTCAAGATAAAGAAGAAAATGTTAGAGTACATTGTGACAGGATCTCAGAGGAACTCAATTTTATGCAGAATGTAAGACATTATATTTTAAGTGTTATAAACTTATATACTATGGACATTTATTAAAAGGCTAGTACCTATTTATTGTTATTACATGTTATTAAATAATAAAAATTTAATTTAATTTCACAAGCTGTTTATAGGTAATATAAGCAATAAATTTATCTAAATATTTAACATAATATGCTCAATATATAATTTTCATACAATGAATAAAGTTATTCTTTATTTAAAATATATCTTTAAATTTCTTTAAGTTTAACACATACAATACAATTAAGCTTACTATTTAGTCAGAATGGTAGTATATAAATATTGTTTCGTTTAAAATTATCAAATATTTGATAATCAAACTACATATTATTCAAAATTAAAACCAATTCAACCAACATAATCGTAACTTTATAATATTAAGCATAAAATGATAAAAATTCGTTTAAGAAAATGTTACCATCATAAATTTATTATCAAAATTGACTTGTAATAGTATTAAAAATTCTATAGGATAGTTAATTATTGAATATAAATAAACAATTAAATAAATGTTGTTCAGTAGTAGATTGTTAATGTACCTACAATTTATTTTTAAATTTTAAAATTTTTTTTTTAATTTTCCTATTAAGTTACTAGGAAATTATAAAAAATACTTATTTAAAGTACCATCAGTGTCAATTTTAGATACACAGAAGTATTGTGATAAAAAACTTTTAGACCACTTCTTCTGCTCAAAATACTGTACATATATGTCTAATATTTTATTATTATAAAAAGACAAATTATTGAAAGACTAAAAACAATATTGTTTCTATATTTTTTCAAAATTATAAAATTACTCCAATATTATAAATTAAAATATCTATAATAAATTAAATAATCCACCAAAAAATTGCAGTCATACATTTTTTTTTTTTATATATCAAAAAATTCTTCGACAACAAAAAAGAAAAAAATAATATAATTTTAATGTATTTTCTTATTTTAACTAATTTAGTAATATTACACATACATTTTATTTATTACTATTTGTATATATTTCGTATACTAAAAATGAGTTTTTAAGTAAAAAAAATTGTTGTTTTCTCAAAGAATTTTTTTTAAAAGAATTACTAAGTTTGTTAAGTAGAGTATACTATACATTTTAGTGAATTATTGTATAATTACGTTCTATTATTGGAAAATATAATTCATAACCCAATAGCTACCTAATAGAAATATACTTCCATAAAATCATATACCTAATATACTAATAATTAATAAATAATTAAGAAAACTTAACCTTAAATTTACTTTCTTCCTTATAGATGAATATAATTACAAAATAAACAAAATTAGTCTAATTTTAAATTTGAAACATTATAATTTAAAAAAATATTTCTTTTGAAAAATCTGAACTAAAAAAAGGGGAGCTTTAATTTGCAAGGCAGAAATTTTTATCACCACAGAAACCTTTGAAGAGATACAAAAATCTCAAGAATTTAAGAACATCGTTTTTAAGTACCTATCTATATTTAAAATTCCAAAAATCTGATTTTGAATAACTGCATTACTGAAGAAAAAAGGAGTAAGCATACTTAACTTAATAAATCACTATGTATAATATAACTATTTTTAAATGTTAAAATATTAACTAAGTATAAAATTTAAAGTAATCTCAAGTCGTAAATATAAATAACTTAATACACAAAAAAGAAAGAAATTTATCTATTTTCGTTTTTATCAATTTAAAAAATATATGTTTTTTTAAAAATTAAATTCAATATTACGTATAATGAGATTTTATTTTAGTAAATTTTTGTCAGAAACAGAACTAATTTAAAATTAATGATTTAAACCGTAGTAAAATTATACGTGTATCTAAATATTATACAATATCTGTTTATAATATGTCTCATACGACACTCCCACAATATTTTTACAACTTCGTATATATAATTTTATAATTTAAATAAATTAGATATATTCAAATAATCATTATTAATTTATGATTATTGATTAGATATTGTAAATTACAGTTACTTGGATATAGTTTAAATAAAAACCTCTTTACAATACAGGAAATAATTAAATTTCGCGATTTTAATAATTTAATAAATATATTAAATAGATATTATAACTATTGACCCAATTTACGATACACTTTATTTATTGCCTGTATAATATTTATTTCAACAATTTTTATAATTATTTAGTCATAAAAATATAAATTTAATAAAGTAATCATACATAAAAATTGTAGATATGAAATATGATAAGTATGTATTTACAAATAGAAATACAAATTGATTTATAATTTAATATTATAAATTATAATAACATGCATTATTTAAATTTATAACATGCATAATGAAACTATTGACTTACGTCGTGAGACTTATATAAGGTATTTAATTGTATTGCACTTAAGAAAATTGTATTTTAAATCCAGTACATTTTGATAGAATACAAAATAATGTAAGACTTTTCATGAAATGTTTGATTTTAATAATAAAACAACTACCAAAATATTTTAATAAAAGAGTACCAAGGAAAAACATCGCGTTTGATGTATAAGATTTTGAGACAAAGCCTCGTGAATTGGCAAATGACGTTTGAACCTCGACGGCTGCGGCGTGACTACCATGTGGTCGTAGGGATTGTTCATCGTTCTTGGAAACAGAGGGCAAAGACCCCCCTACCGGAAAAATGCGGCGTTTGCGCACCCCAATAATGAACGAGCTCATACTATAAAAAATGTTAGTAAAGTAAAAAAAATGTGAATGATCTGTTAAAAAAATAAGGAAACAAAAAAAGTTAAACACGAGTGATTTATATCGATATCTTGTTTATTAACTATATATATAAATAAGACAAAAGCATAATATCTTCATTTAATCAACGCTTAGTTATGCCAAATAGTATTGACTTACTCGTAACTATCTTAAATTTAAACCTTAATTTCATAATCGAATTAAGTTATTAACACATAACACTACAACAATGATACATCGTTCTTAGAATAAAAACTAATTATAATAAAAAAAACTATAATAAAATAAAAACCAACTAAAAAGTTTTTTTTTCATAGTTTCATGTTTTATCTTTTATCTTTTAGGTTTTTAATCATTTCAAACATGTATTCTAATTGTGTCGAAATATTTGATGAAATTTTAATTTTAATATTTATGACTGAAGAATTATTCTCAAATAATAAGAAATTTAAAATGTTTAAAAACTAGAAAAACATTTTACTTTTAATATTTCCATGTAAATTATAATTAGATAATAAAACATTAAGCTATTTATAGAAATTTCGAATTTTTATAGTTTGTATTGAATTTTTTTTTCTGTCAAAAACTCTTTAATGTAAAACAAAATTTCTTATAAGTTGTTCTACGAGCAATTTAATTTTATTGAAAATACATAGGCATAATTTTTTTTTATGGTATTTTAAATTAAAATTGGAAGTGTGTGAAAAAATCAAATATGCTATAATTTAAATTAGTGTTATTTAATAGTACCATTTTCAAAATTGAGCTTTTCTCAATTAAAAGTTATTTTAAGGCCTTTTCCCGTGAACTTAATGAAACTTAGTCACTTATAGTTTGATTTTTCTACTAATTTCATATACCTTAAAATTGGATATTGAAAATAAAAATGATAATTTTTTAATTAACGATTAAAAACTATTAAACAGAGTTATTTTATTGTAACTCAAAAATATTAAAATTGAAACTTAAAACATTTTGCCATTACCTAAATTATTTTATAACAACAATGAAATTTGAATTTGAATTCATTTTAACTGTTATACTATTTTTTTTCTATACAATTATACCACATAGATATTCAGTCACACTTGTCTAAGATATTATGTCAATATTCACATTGAAGTAATAAAAAAAAAATTATTATGTAATACATACAATATTTTTAGAAAAATAATAGTTTAACCTTCTGTATTACTAATATAAATAAATTCAAAAATTTCCCAAGAAATAGAAACTAATACACCATTTTCGCACAGAAAAGTTTTTCTGTTTTCATATACAATCATTATTAATATAATTCAAATTTAATAAGTCTATAACACTTAATGAAAATAAACCTATGCTCAAAATGTACTATACTGTATTATTTAGTTTTTTAATTGAAAATTTACAATAATATTAATAATTAACATGAATTTTAAACAATTAAATTTGAGCCAAAGTACATGTATATTGCGTTGTTAGTTCCAAAACCTTCAACATTTGAATTGGAGCCTCATAATTAATTAATAATATTATTTTCAAGGATAATTTTTTTATTATTAAAAACTCTTAATTTGTATGTATAAAAATTTGAAGTATTAAGGATTTTTTACGGTCACTTTTAATTTAAAATAAACTATTCATTATAATTAACAAATGTGAAGTTAGATTTTATTATTTTAAAATAAAAAAAGTAAAAAGCTCTACCCAATATTATTTTAATTTTAATTTTAGTTTATTACCTTGAGTTTTAAACTTTTAATTAAAATTTAGATATACTAATACATAATAATACTATATACATACCTAACAGTTATCATTCATTACAAATATTAAAATCGAAAATCGATTTTTGGTGTTATGTAATTATATTATTTGAAAAAACACATTCACGTCAGAAATTATCACTTAAGTGGATACAAAGTTATAGTAAAGATCGATTTCAAAACATTCGTATTATCACGCGTCTGACAGATGATAGTAATAACACTGCAGGTGACTGCAATTTACGTCTCTTGGGTACCCATATAGTATACAATTACAAGGAAAACTTCGAACCCTTAAAACGTATACTGAAAATTGGAACATTGAGGTTAAACCACAATTAATCAGCGTTATAACTAGAGCGCGGATTTATATACATTAAAAACCAACTAAATATGCACTAAAAAATCTTAAATATGCATAAATATATGCACTGAAATGTTAAAATATGCACGAAAAATAAAAAAAAAATATGGTAAAAAAATTATTTTTTTAGAATAGTGAAATAATATTAGTATCCAATTACTGACAAAATCGATATTTTCTTATCTTAATAAGATTAATCTAAATATTTTATTTTCCCAATTATTGATCTAAGATCATATTTGGAATAACCGTTTATACTTATTAATTTATTTTGATATTAATCGAAACTATGCAAATAAAATTTTTTTTTTCTTATATTATAATAAACTATATAGAATAAATTTAAAAAATGTCTAAAAAAAAAAAAAATATGCATTAAAAGATGAAATATGATATTAAAATCTTAAAATAAGCCCTTAAAATAGAAAAATATCGAAACGTACAAAAATATGCACTAGAAAAGTTTAATTTTTTAAATCGTTGTGTCGTAAAACAAATTTTGTGCTCACTTACCATACCATACGATCAATCAGAATAAATGTGCAAATGCATATAAATCACGCTTTAGTTATAAATTATAAGTTATATATTGACACTTCCTATTAATTCAAAAATCTATTACCACTAGGTACATATTTAATATGATGAAAAATTATTATTTTGTTATAACTCGATTACTATTATTAATAGTATTCGAGTCATTCTTAACTTTTTAGTTGACTACTAAACATATTTTTTTTTTAAGTAGCAGTGATTATAGAAATCTAATAAATGATAATTTCCTCATCGCCAAAAGTGTTAATCTAGTAAACATACAGTTTAATGCATTGATAATATTTAATTTTACTATGACTCGGGGAAATAGTAATAATACGTTTTTTCTATACAAACAACAGCTATAAATTTAAAGCACCTATACAAAAAAATTTTAATACAATTACTTCAAATTTGTAAATTTAATATTTTTTAAATACCTGTATAATTTTTAAAGAATATAAAATAATAATTTATCATTCTGAATTATTAAATAAATTGCGTTGCTTACCAAACTCTTGATTCACTTAGGCATATATGAATTATAAGCTATATCAAAGTTTATGTATGTGACATATGTGAGAAAATCGTTCTCTAAGTCGACAGTGCGTAATTAATTGTATTAGGAGGTTCTGGATAATTAACCTAATCTCATCGTCACTAAATAATTATACTCTGGTTAAGTTTTGTTTTTGAAAACTATCGTCAGACATAAACACACTTATATAATAGTTAATAATGAAAGCAATTAGAATCGACTAGTCAAAAACATAATACTATTGATTTTAAACTAACAACTATAAATTTATACTAAGTTAGGTATAATATAAAAACTTTTAAATAACTAAATTTAAATAAAATTATATATTTATACATATACAACAATTTTAACTACCTATAATGATAAAATAATTAAGTTAACAAATCAGACTTAATTAAACTAGCTGTTTTACACATGATAAATAAACGAACAATTTTCCGAAAGTGTCAAAAAAATATTAAGGTCCATGTGTTATTTTACTTAATTGTAAATAATATATTAATAAAAGAATTGACCAAACACAAAATAATAGGTAAAATATTATTCTAGTTATTTACTAGTTACTTAATTGTATTTTTACAATATTCTAGTGAATTATAAAAAAAGTCGCTGTTATTAATGAGAAATAATGTACTTTTGGGTAATTGTACTAGTTGACAGCACTAACTGTGTAAAAATATTAATAGGTATACTACAGTTAAATTTTTAAGCAATTGAATAAAATATGGAAGATACATGCTATTACGATCATACAATAATTGATTCAAGTTGAGATATAGACATAGGAATTTCACCTTTGATTAACTCTAAGTATTATCTACAATCTATATTATAGTTATGGTCATAAATATACGTAAGTATACACAATTATTGAATCATTTATTAATATTATTTTTTTTTTAAGTGAAGAAATAGGTAAAATGTCTGATGTAAAATTAAAGTAAAGTGAATCTCATCATTGAATATGTCACTATAATGGGTATGTTACTCGTAAATTTGAATGCAGTAATAAATAATTGGGTACGAAAACAATTCTGAACGGAGACGATTTGTTGACCTTTATTATAGGTATGTAAATTTTACTATATGATAGGTATAATAATAATACCATCATAGGTATTTATTTTACTATAATTATATCGATAAAAAAAAAATATAAAATTAATATAAATATTTTAAAATAGTCATTGTGTACCTATAGTAAAATAAAATTGTATACGTAAAAATTTTAAATTTCAACAGAATGTTTTTAAATTAAAACAAAATAACTTAAATCTTTATTTTTTTATTTGAATATCCAAATCCATCAAAACTTTAATATCTGTATAAAAAACAATTGTGACAGTAAAATTTTTAGGTTTCAGTAAGAACTACTATAAATAACCTTATATTAAATTTTAAAGTTTTAACTATAAAATTGGACATTTTATACATTTTTAACTACAAAATAATTTACAAATTTTCGCGAATTTAATAAGTTTTGTCAGCATTTGATTTTAAAAACGCTCATTAAATAAATTATGTCTATGTATTTGAAATACTTAAAAATAGTAAAAGTCATTAGTTGTATGAAATCCCCTAATTGATTTTCATCAACACTAAAAAATAAGTTAAAATCGTATAATTTTTTCTAAAAACACAAAAATAAAACACATTATTGTAAAATTAACAAATTTTGAATCTAAAATATTAAAATTAAAACTAAAATAGCAATAACTTTTAAAATTACTCTGAACTACTTGATTTAAAAAAAAATCAACAAAAAAACCTAAAAAAATAATACAATAAAGTATGCAATGTTTATTATAATAGATATAAATATTAAATCATTATAGAACAAAACAAATATTAATGAAACTTCAACCAGAGTTAAAACTATTGGGCATCATAATATTATATACTCAATTAATGTTGACAAATTATAAGGGAAAACATTTTTTTAATAAATCTATTGGTTATTATTAAATGGTGTGTAGTACAATATTAAATCGAATATTGGCATATGTACATTATTTTTGTCCAATAGTCTCCCTTTCAGCTATCAATAAAAGCCATTAGTTTAAAAATCAGATAGTTAATGGTTTATTTTTGAAATAAACACTGTTATTGTGCATTTTAATGTATTATTACGTATCATACAAATTGCAGCCTGTTGACAACGTATAATATAAATGGTAATAATAATGGTAGGGGAAATCCCTGTTGTGTTTTACGTTGCGTCAACTATACAATAATGTTGGATCACCGCACTTTATTGCCAATTAGACTTTACTACGTAAGTGATAGCTTAGTTTTTATGCTGTTTGGACATACGAAAAATTCAATGATTCTGTAATGGATAAACCATGTGAAAATCAGATTATTAAACGAGAATCGTTACCAAAAAAAAATGAAAAATATCAACTAAGGTTAGTATTTTAGTTTTTAATCTAAAACATATTATAACTACCGTATTTAAATAATAATACCATAATAAGGTAATTTTGTTATCTTTATTTTATAAATGTTTGTAGTATCAGTAAATTTTAAATTTACAGTAAGCATAATACGTATATGCAGTTAAAATATATAATATGATTGATTACTTGACAATTGCAGTGATTTAATGGTGAAATTGTATTCATTTACCAGTTTAAAGAGATATCTATAACTTTTTTTAAATAATAGAATAAGTATATTAATTTTTAAGAAAAAACTGGAAAGTTGACTCTGTTACATAACAAGTTTCGACCATGCCTTATTATTAAGTAATTCAATATTATAAACGTGTGAAGTTGAATTATATGATAAATTATTGCACATGAAAAACAACTTTTAAGAATTTTTAGTTCAGATTATCTATATTTTATTATTTATTAATATTTTTTTTTTATAAATATTAGCTTAGGTGCCGTACATAATACTTTATAGACAACAAAATATTATATTTTATATAATTATACTAACAATTATTATACGAAAATAAAAATAAAATAAAGGTATAACTCACGAAACTCCTATGATTTAAGTGGTCGGCCTCGATGACCACCACCGAAAAGAATATATACCAATAATTGTTGAGAACTGCCTAAAAAAGAGGTGACCATACAAAATGTAAATCTTTGAGCCGTATTTAAAACGTATGTGAGTTTTACGCCAGAAGTCAGTTTACAATATGTCAAAAAAAGCTACTACAAATTGACGAAGTCCCAACAGACACAGAAGTGGCGTTACGAACAGTCGTAAAAGAACAGTCGACAGGAACTGGCCAAGGATTTTTAAAATACGTTTGTAAGACCAAGTTTCAAAATAAAAAGTGCATTTGTCTTAAAAAATAACGTTTTATGCACATCAAAATGTCATTTTTTAACAACATGTTGTAATAAGTAACTATAATAATATATATATACACAATATAATAACATTAAATAATTTGTTTTTTACTTTTCTCAAAAAAAAAATTGGAATTTTACATAATGCCTAGCTATTTAAAAAAATACCCAAGTTATATATAAAATAATATTGAAAGTCCTATGTCTTATTTACATTGACTAAAACCGGTTGGCAATATGCATAATACCTAGTCATTTTGCAAAATGCCTGAATTATCCATAATGCCGGTAATATATATATTAGTTACAATCAAATAACTAAAATCATTTTTTCTTATTTTTCTTATCGTCAAAAAAATGAAATTAAAATTTCGATAAAAAAAAATAAATAAATGTTATACCTAATTATATTTTTAAGATATTAAGATTTTCATAAGACAAATTAAAAATAATAATTAAAAACAAATAAAAATATGTTATATTAGATTAGCTTGAAGTCTTAGTTAATAAGATTGAACATTTTAAATAATTTTAACTATATTTCCAAATTTAAATCATGTCTAAAAAATGTTAATAAAAATATTTCATAAAAAATTAAAGTCTAGTTAGTTAATTTTTCAATTAAGATAAAAAACTGTTGTCTAAAAATGACAATTTTTATAATTTTCTTGAAGTCACTTTCAAGTTTTAAGGTTTAAAGTTTAAACATTCTTACTATTTCAAAAAATGATAACAGACTAAATAATAATTTAAAAAAATACATAAACGAATAACAATTTAAAAAAATTGACATTGAATATATCTGATCATTATATCTAAACTTCAGAATATTAAAACAATTTTCAAATAAAATCATACTGATTTAAAAATAATATTTTTTTACCTACTTTAATTTAAAATTTTTTTTTTTAATCATAACTTTGATAAAGTTAACAGTGTTTGAAGCTTTTATAGAGCAACAACGATTACACAATTAAGTACAATATTGCAGTATCATGTTTAATTAATATGTTCTACTATAAATTATCAACTAATAATCTTTAATTTCCATATTGAAGACATTTTGAGTAAATTTGTAAAATTACTCATCTTGTACATTATTATGGATTAATTGTTTATTAATTTATTTTAAATTTAACGTTATTTGTGGTGTGCTTTATAATATAATAATGAACTTCTTTATAAATTGAAACGCTTAAGCTTATTTTCGTTAAAAACCATACTATATTCAATAATAACAAAAAATAACTAAATGAAATAAAAAAGATCATGATATACATATGTAACACGAGAGATTTAGAAACATTAAAGCGTATATTTTTATAATAATTTAAACTAAATTACTTTTTCAAGTATAATTATTGAATTATGCATCACAATTTTTTTAAATCAATAACAATTTTAATTCTTTCTATTTATTACATCACCAAATTTTGTTGTTTGTTAAAAAACGAAAAACAATATTTAAAACGAATATTAGATGCATAAATAAAATGAGTTTCACTCCCGAATATTTTTAATTACATAAGACCAAAAACTTAACATTATTTTTCTATATATACACAAACAATATGCCTAATACAAGACTTTATTCTTTATTAACTATTGTCATTATATTTTATCAAATACCTACCTTAATAAAATTAAGGCTAATATAATTCCTGAAAATATTAAAATAATTATGTCCTCCATATGACATCCGTCATAAATAAAAGCAATAAATAAATGTGTGTGTATGTCCCTTTAAATAATATTTTTCCCACATTGAGTTTGTCACCTCTATGTTACTCCTCACTGTATAAAATGAACCCATCAACAAATTAACGAGACACCCTAATCTATTTCATAGCCTATTTTAATCGTGTATATAGAGAAGCTTTGTAATTGACTAAAATAAGAACATTAGTTCAAAAAATTAAACTAACAGTAACTCTATACAGCTTAAAATTTAAAATATTCACAAATAAATATTTGCACAATAATCATTTCAAATTAATAATCTAATATTACAATAGTACGTATATTATGATTATTTTAGTTTTTCAAATATTTTATGATAATCAAAAAAATAAATATAAAACACAGGGTACCATATATACATAATATATATATACTATTTATAATAATTAGGTGCTTAATATTTTAATATTTTAGTTTTTAATATCCATAAATAAATTTATCATTAATTATTATTGCATCAGCTATTTAAAAAAAAAAATTTAAGTTTGATTAATAGACGAAAAATCCTAAAACCACTTAAAGATCACTTTTTGACATGCAATAATATTTACTTAACAATGTAATATGAAACACATAATATTATATAGATACGTCTTTCCCTGTGAGCTGTAGTATACCCAAAACCATACCTTGTCCAATGAGGGAGAATAGTTTTTTTTTAATGTTTAGACCCCTCCTTATTAGTCTTATTGAAAACTGAACATTGCCCGCATGTTTAAATGTCGATTAAAACTGATGAAATAAATGGCTATTAAAGATAATTTCTATATAGTGTCGACTATACATAGCAACAATGTGGACATACTACAGTGAACGTTTGTACCTAAATGTCTAAATGTTTATAAAATTCGTCAACATTATTTTTTTTTAACTATGAATAGTGAATATTATGTCTCAAGTTGGAACAATTGAATATTTTACAAAATATCATGTAAGTAACTGACACTTGATGAAAATATAATTGTATTTTATATTTTCACATTAAATAATCATAACATGTATTATTGTATTAACCAATACAACATACCTAAATACATTTTATAAACGTACAATTTGAAAATTCAAATTTAAAACATATTTTATTTAGTTTTAAATAATATACACATGAAATTTTCAAAAGCAGAAAATCAAATTAATTTTAAAACAAAAAAAAAATTATATTTTAATATTTATTTATTTTTTAATCACATCTATCAACTTTTTAATTTAAAATAATAATTTTTCAGTGTTATATATTGTAGAACTATTATTTAAATTTGTGTTGTTTTATTATTTTAATTTATAATAAATATTATATACTACGTATACTTATAATATTAGTAAAAAACTAGATTTGAATACATTAATTTATCATTGATAAATAACTAATATAAATTATTTTAATGCATAACTTAAATGGGGAGGAAACTCCGATCAGAATCTTTTTTTTTTATAATGAAAAAAATAATATAATAGTTCGCTATTCTACAATGAGTTTATAGTGAAAAAATTCGATTGAACACATTACTTGTATTCCATGTTTCTCTTTATATTCAGTTAACATTTTTTATCATTAATCAAATATTACAATAAGGATTTTATTTTGTATAAAATAATAAAATTATAGGTTGGAGTTCATAGTCAAAACATAGGTTTGTTGTCATTATATAAATAAATACCTTCATTATATTGCCAACATAGGTTAAAATTACTTATATACTTAATTATTATCAACTAAAATATAATAAATAATAATATTAATTAACAATTTTTATTTTTATGGAAAATTAATGATGGGTGCAGATTACATTTACTAAAAAGATATCATAATATTAGGCTAAAAAAACAGGTGTCTCATAAAGACATTGCGTAACAATTTATCGTGAAGAAGTTCATCGTGATAACTTTCCCCATGGCTCATACAATTTTAACTTATTATTTTATTAAAAATAAAAATTATTTAATTAAAATTATTTATTCTACGAAATATACTAAAACACTAACAATTGTTATTTTATTAAAAGTAAATCCAAAAGAAGATATATCTATACAAACATGCTAACTGTACTGAACAATTTGAAAATTATTTTGGTTGTAAAACGTTTACGGTTAACTTCGAATTAATAACTTCACAAAATACAATAAAATCAATTTTTCTAAGGTTTTTCCTGACAATACTGTTTAGTGGAGAAAATTCTTTAATATTTAACAAGCATGGTAGTTGGTGGATGGTGATATCCAGTTTGTTCGAATTGATATTTGAAAATCAGAATTTGAAAATTCGGTATATATTTTTTAATAATCAGGAAAAACTAATAATTAACAATGAAAAACATGCAACATCAATTTTTGACCAAATTTATTTTGCTTTATTTATGTTATTGTACCGATATTACAGAAAAAAATAATAATAATAACGTAAAATTTTTAAAACCTCTTAATTTTATCATTTCCTATATTTTGGCTTTTTTGTTGTTTATAGACATTTAAAATAATTGTCAACCTTTTAAAGTATGTTTCAATTTATATTATTAAAAATTTTGTGTCTCAGTCAAATACAATAACATTATTGTCATTACACTAGTTAAAAATATCTTAAATAAATCAGCGCGATTTCTTTATTTGAGTATTTTAAGTTCAAATTTTAATAAAATGTTATATTTAAACATAAAATAATAATTTTATCTACGTCATTTTTATTCAAAAACTATTTATCTTAAAGCATTGAAATTATTTTCTAAACCTAAAATATTTAGGATAATTTCAAGCTACTTAAATATATCTTAAATCGGTTTGCACTAATAGTACATTGGTATTGACTCAAAATTAAGATATGATCAAATATTACAATAGTTATAATATAATATACTCTATTGTTCACCAATAATAAGTCTAAATTTTAATATTGTAATAGGAAAGTAAATTACTAAAAGTGTTATGATTTCATTATTATAAAATAACCTAAAAAATAAAGGCCAACATAAAACCTGTTCGAGGTGCCTCCGCAGTTCAGAATCGTTTTTCGTGTACAACTATTACAAAATACCTACTTAATAATTTTCCGTTGTAAAAATTAAATTAAATTGATAATAAAATTATCCCTGATAAATTGCCACATGATGAATGAAATATGATAAATTAACGCATATGCAACACGTAACTAATCTAAATTCATTCCAAATTATTCATTTCGGATTATAATTTATAGTTATACATTTAAGAATTTTCAATGTTTTCATCAATATAACAAATTATTAAAAGCTAAAAGTCAATTTTATTTAATGTTAAACTTTAATGCCTTAATGATTAAAACGTGCCTACATTAATGTTTTAATTTTAAAAATCCCTTCAATACCAATATACTTATTATGGACATCATATTATATCGTTGTCAACTGTATAAAAAATGTATTATGTTTGTTTTTCTATATAATAATTATTATTGTGTATTATTTATATGTGTTAATGACAAATTAAATACGGTAAATTAAAATACAAAAAATATTTTCATAATTTAACTAATGTATTAAAAAATAATGTAACTTTATTTTTATTTTAGATTAAAAATTATGAAATTTATATATACTTTTATTGAATACATTATTAAGTGATTATAATTCATTTCAATGTCAAGCTCAAACCAATCAGTGGGATTTGAACTGTAAGTAAATATTCAATTTGTCTATTTGTTATCATTAAGGTATATTTATAGAAAATTGTTTTTTTTTTTTTTAGATGGCTAAAAGAAAACCCAAACATTATGTACGCTGCAGCGTTCATGACGTTACTTATTATGTGTATTGGAATTGTAGGTAATAGCTTAACTATATTAGTAATACTAAAAAGTCCACGGATTCGAAATGTAGCTTCTACTTTTATCATCAGGTAATGAATGAAAATTAATAACTATCGATTAATACTATATGAATTCAAGCATTAAGTAACTGAACACTAAGTATTATAAATTCAATATCTAGAACCAGTATGATAGCAAACTGATACTAAGTATCCACTTTTATATCTCCTGTTTTCAGGCACCTATAACACTGCTCTATAAATATATTTATTAGTGTCTTAAGGGGTATTATTTTATTTATTTTAAGTTTATATGCTACATTTAAAATAAGCTATATGACCAATATGTTTGTTCATCATAACTTCAATACCATATCGGTATATAAATACAAATTTCCTTTTATAAAAAAAAAGTATTTTATAATAGTTTTTGAATATAAGTGGCTCTTAGAGATGCTTTATATAAACTGAATAGGTATTCAATTTCTTTTTTATATTATTTTGTATCAAACGTTTATTTTATTTCATATAGTATTCAATTAATATTACATTAATACCTTATTATTAACGAGCACATGTTGTTCAAATGTATTCACGGATTTTTAATGTTTTTTTTTTACACTTACAAATTTGTTACGATATTAAACTCGGTAATAATATTATAATAACTTACTATATTATTCGTACTTAACTTTAAGCTCATAATTTATGATTCATAACTTATTTGAAAAATATTAACTAGTAACTTAGTATATTTATGCAGTAGTGTATTTTCTGTTATCCTTATTTAATTCATACGAGTATTATTTTATTATTATTTTTAATGATCTTTTGTTCATACTTTATTTTTTATTTAATATTAGGTTGTATATGAGTTATTATTTCACTCTTATAATATTATACTCTATTTATATAACAATCTATTTAATCTATAATACATTAACCTATCTTAAATATCATATTTAACTGAACGATTTTAATAAATGAGTCGCTTTGTTAATTTCTATAGCCTAGGCGCAGCTGATTTGTTATTTTGCATAACTGTATTGCCATTCAATGCTTCACGATTTTTAAATATTAACTGGGTACAATACCCACAATTATGTTCAATTGTCCCGTTTTTACAGTACGGAAATATTGGAGTGTCACTGCTTTTTATTACTATGATCACTATAAATAGGTAAGTAAATATAAATAATAAATAGGTAAATTCACATTTTAATATTTAAAATTTTTATTTTAATAATTTTTTACTTATATAAGTTTAATATAATTGTCTGAACAATATTTTTTAAATATTAACTAATGCGAATAATTTTTTATTTTTTTTTTTTAAATTATACGGTATTTTATTATTTGTATAGATATTTAAAATCCTAATGATATTTTTCATACATTACAAATGTTTAAGTGTATAATATATTATGTAAAAACTAATTAACTAAAAATAGTAGGTAATTACTATCTCCTTACAAAATAAATTGAAAAATGTAAGTTAAATTTACTTAACGTGTGTTAAACTGTCAACAAACTATTTATTTATAATACAGACTAATTTTCGTCAAATCAACCATCATCCTTGTTAGTTTTTAATGAATTAATAGGTGATGATTAATGCGATAATTGTTAATATATCCAATTATAATTAAAATTGTAATTTATTTATTTATATAAAATTTAAAAGAAATCCACATACTGTATACTGTACATTATATACATTGAATTATGTTAGACGTTCGTCTGCGTTCGTCTGCGTGGTGTGTTATGAACTATGACTATACGTTTGAAAAATAAATTAACACATTTGAAAATGACTAATCTAAGATCTGTTTGTTATAAATTATAATGTATTTTAAAATATTTAAAAAATTTAAGTTATATATTAAAATACCTTGATTGTCTTAAGAAAAAAATAAAGAAAGAAAAAAAGGAAGAAAATAAAATTAGACGACTCTAAGCTTCCGGAATCACTAACCAAATTGCTTTATCGGGACCCCATCTATCCCCGCCAACATCAAATATTCATTTACTACTATTCTACTCAACCAAATGTAATACTTCATAAAATTATAACTGCAGTTAATATACTATCATATTTTTTGTAATTTTAAAATAAAAATTATATGTAAATCCATCTCAATGATCACTGTTATTAAGGAATATCTTCGATCAAAAAAAAATAATAGTAAAATAATTGAAATTCATTTAAATTAAAATAAATTAAATAGAAAAAAATAATACTAGTTTAATATTATATTGAATTTAAAAAAAAAATATGATACATTTTTTTTTTAATTAAATATTATAGTTCATGATAGAGTTATTTTTAATACATATTTTTTACTGATGTTAATATTTTCAAAAAATAAAAATAAATTAATACATTTATTTACCTATAATTAATCATTAAAATTAATTCATTTTATAATATAAATGACCTAATTAAATAAATCAATATTCTAGATAGGATACTCGTACATTAAAGCTCACGTGTTTGACGACAGGAATATTGGAGGTTAAGTTAGTTGTGTCCCAGATGATAGAGTCAGTAGAAAGCAATTAATATTTTAGGTAATGATACAGCCCGTTGACAAAATTTTTGCATTTCAGGGGTAGGGTGGGGGAATATTATATGATTATCAAGAGACCTGTGATAATAACTAAAATAAAATACAATGTGGCAAAACGTTGCTCACGTCGAAAAATCAGGAACAGTGGATAGACAATATAGATTAAAGACAGAATCCTAAATACAGAGTGTTCCAAAATGATTCATCCGATTACGAACTGATATAGTTCGGCAACGGTTAATCGCAGGTTAATGACCAATGTATTAATGGAAAGATTAGATAACTAAGTTAATTTTAAGTTATCTAGTTGTTAAATTCGGCACCGTAATCGTTAGTGACGTAACTTAATTAGTTGTTATCGAAATGTCGACCGAGCAACAAAAAGCGTTTTGTGTGCTCCGCTTTGAGAAGTTTTTTTTTTTTTTTTTTTTTTTCTCTGGGGTTACATAAAAAGCATTGTTTATGTACCTCCCCTTCCAAAAGATCTTGACGAATTGAAAAGTCGCATTACAGGCGCCATCAACTTGGTTACAGTCGACATGCTTCAACAGGTTTATGAGGAATTTGAATATCGCTTAGATGTGTGTTGTGCAAGTAAGGGGGGTCACATTGAACATTTATAAGCATTGTACCTAAAACTTAAAATAATCCATCAAAATTTAAAATTAATTCTAACATGATTAATCAAATTTTACAATAAATATGATTTTTTTAAATCGGATGAATCATTTTGGAACACCCTGTATATTCTAATACTAACATTATTATACATAATATACAAACGTTGTAACAATAATAAACTATAAAAGCAATACGAAAATATATGAATAAACGTACGAATTTTAACAACAACAAATTGTATTCATTGTTAATAATGAGATATTTTAATAAATCAAGATTCATGAGGGGGAAATGAATATAATATTTTAATATTTTTTTGAATATTACTCTATAAACTATTTCAATAGTTAAGATATATTATTACTTATAATATAAATGTAAAAGCAATATTAATAATTTTGAATAACACTTTATTGGATAACTGAGATTTAGTTTGCAATATAATATTCTATAATATATTAAATGATTATTTTAAAGCAACACACAGTATATCAAAACTTATTAAAATTTATATAAAAATACTTTTTTTTACATAACCCATTTCAAGTCATAATAAATCGAAATTTTTGAAAAAAAATATATTTTTATGCCTAAATTAAATAGTTTTTGCGTGTATTTAAAAAAATATTAGAATAGAGTAGTCAAACATTATGCAAGGTACTATTGTACCATTTCACTAATAAAAACTTTAAAATACTATTATAGTATAGAATACTACTATGATTAACACCTCTTTCGGAATTTGATTTTTGTAAATCGAAATTTTCAGACAATTTTTTTGTTTGAAATACGAAATTAAAATGTATATTGTTATTCAAAAAATTAAAAATTTGAGAAAAAGTATAATAACACGAAAAAGGGAAAAAAAATATTTATTTATTTCTATTAAGCTGGTACGATTCGAAATAATTAACAATTAAGTACTACTAAAAGTACTGAATTCTAGTTGGGTCTCGAATTCAAAATGTCAATACTAATGGATCCGGAATTTTTTCAACAAGTTTTAAATTTTACTAACATTTTATTTTCCATTTTAACAGGCATCTATTAGGATTTAGAACTGTCTATTAACCACAGATATGTAGTTAAAAATGGTTTTTTACCTATTTTATTATTATTATTATTATATATTATTTTGAATTAAGTTTGTCGTTTTCAACAGATAACATCCAAAAAGTTTGAATATAAATGTTTTTTTTTTGTTTATTTGGAAGTCGATAATAGATAAGAATTTAGTAATTATTATAAATTGCTTATATTGTAAGCATTTTCATAAATATTTCAGGACAACTTTTGAATGTTTAATCTAAGTAATACGTGCAACTGTTACATAAAATTACTTAAAAATTTGGTATTTAACTAGTATACCACCTGTGGTTAGCCCATATTACTCGGAACTCAACTCAGATTCACCGGCTTAAAGATTTAATCAGCATATTATACTACAAATTAAATTTCAATTGTACAATTTTAGTTTTTATCATGTATTCAATAAAAAAAGTATTTATTTTAGGTATATAATGATCGTTCATTCAAGCTTATATAGTATAGTATATCGTCCAATATGGATAACTTTTATGATAATGCTTTGTCTAATTATTTCGTTTGGCATGCTGGTACCTACCCTTTTAAGTAAATGGGGTATGTATTTATAGTAATATAATAAATTTCCTACTTAAATTATAATATTTTACAAATATATTTTTTAAGGTAAATTTGAATATGATCCAAAGTTAGGTACATGTTCAATAGTATCTGATGAATTTGGTCAATCTTCGAAATCTGCTCTTTTAATCACTGGGTTCATCATACCATGTATTGTAATTATTTGCTGTTACACTGGTATATTTTTGGTTGTTCGTAAGTAAGTAAAATCAAATACAAATTAAGTTTTATATAATAAATCAAACCAAAGCTCATCTTCAACTACTGAATAGGTACCTACATACAATTTACAGTCGATTAAGAATGAAAATATTTAATTAATATTTTAAAATACTAGTCAATTTACCATAACATTACACAATTTTTATGATTTTATTAGAATATTATATATTCATTGAAAAACTAAAACACAACTTAACCCTTAAGAATTTTATTAAATATATTTTGATATTTATTACACGCTAATACATTTACAGTGAGACGAATCCGTTACTATATGTTTATATTTTTTACAAATTATTCAACAAATATTCTTTAGTTTTCTATACATTATGAGAAACTTTATAGAAAAATTATCTCTTATTTACCATATTTTATATCATTCAAATAGCCAAATTAAACTTTTTGAAAGCACACCGTTAGTATAAATACCTGAACATTAATATTGTGGTGCTATTTATATGGCTATTTTATTATGTTGAAAACAAACTAACGACATGCATCGACAAATATTTTTTGAATATATTAATGATTATATTATAAATGAATAAAATACCTATGTTATATATTTGTATACGTAACCTTTTTTATTTTACCAAGCTATAATATCTAAGAGTAAACAATTTATTTTAAATAATATTGTATCAGAACTAACTAGCAAAAAAATTAGCGTTATTAAAATTTTAAATATTTCCAAAAAAAAAAAAAACGTTAATTAACATTGGTTTTTTTGTAAAAGGTTTATAGTAAAATAAACTATTTTTTTTTAATTATAATACATCTTTGAATTTAAAAAAAAAGAACCTAAGCCAATAATAGTTAAATAAAAATCAAAAAATCAAATAGATTGTTTATTGTTATAAAACTGCAATAGAAATGTCTAGTACAAAATCTAAAAAAAACTAAATTTATATAAATTGTTATTTAATGCAAGTAGTACATAGGTACATAATATTAAATTATTATTTTTAATGTTACTTAGTTTATATTTAATTTCAGTTCAGAAAAACGAATGCAAAGACATCAAACATCCACCCAAAGTGATCCAACAGCAACACATATGCAGTCCATAAGAAGAAAACTTAGTGAATGGAGGATAACTAAAATGGTGTTGGCTATATTTTTATCTTTTGTACTTTGCTACTTACCAATTACAATTACAAAAACTTTAGATCCAAGTGTTCAATACCCAGGTATATATTATTAAGTAATATCTATAAAATAAATTAAAATATAAAATTGATAACAGAATAATTTCATTGACTTGGATTTTCTGTTCTCTAGCACAATCTTAATTGGAACTATGCAAAATTATATTTATATTATAATATGTACCTATATCCTGTACTATCACCGTAAAGAACAGTATCAAATATATTTAAAATTACTTTACAATTATACACATATAAATCTATGAAATCTCTTTGATTATAATATATTATTATATATAATACCTTAATTTTTAAACATATGATTTGGATAAAATATTTCAATAGATGCGTATAATAAATACCTCTAATAACGAGGTTATTTTCCTAAATAGGTAATACCACTTATCAGTTAAATATGTAATAATTTATAAATATTCAATAAGTAAAATTTAATTTTAGTTATATTATTATTTTTTATGGAGATATAAGTATAGTACGTGTTACATATTTTTTAATACATATACTATTAATATAAGGCCTAAGTATAGTACATTAGTACATAATATGAATATAAAAATGTAAATAGTAGGTACACATCTTACAAAAAATTAACCTCACAATTTTCAACTATTAAAAAATATTTTACTATGAAATAGTTCTATTTTTAAACATTTTACAAAATAAAGATTAAGTAGTACATACTACATAGTAAGTGATATTACTTTCACAAAATCAACATTTTTGTTTTCAAAAATAGTGATTATTTAAACTATATAAAGTAGAAGGTAAGATTTAGGTTTCCCTTTATGAATTTTATGTATAAAAATGTATTCCACGCATTTTACTTTTTTAATAATCACTATTACCATTTATTCGTGTATATTTTGTATTGATACTTAACGGATATACATATTATTAATGTACCATTCACATCCTCAAATTAATTTTAACGCAAAAATTCAATAGAAAAAACCCCGAGAAAGTCGCTTTACTTATAAAAAATGTCGAGTGTACTTCGTCATTGAATAGGTCATTATGATGAATATATTAAACTTGAATTAAATGATAAATCATTATATACGTAAATCTAGACGGATGTAATCTCCTATATTTCTAAGAATATTTTATTATATTTAGTACTTATTTTAATATTAAAAATAATCAAAAGATAAATTAAGATGAATTTCTGTATCTATAAATTATATTATGCAGAACTATAAAACCTAATATCATGTTTTCTATTTTATTTAGCTGTTCTTTTGATTGCATATATTATGATTTACGCATCAGCATGCTTCAATCCAATTATATACGTCATAATGAATAAACAATATAGAAAAGCATTTAAATCAGTTTTAAATTTTGGATGTTGTGAAAAAGCTACAAAACGAGTACCTGTTTTGAGATCTATATCGAAACGTCTACAACCACACGGTAAATTGATATCATCAACTGTCATGCAAACATTACAAACAATAAGCCCGGGTTAAGAGAGAATATCTTAACATATTGAATTTTTTAAGAGTCACAAACTTTGCAATAGGTACATTTTTTTAAATATCGCTTAAAATTAAAATTGAAAACTAATATTGAATTGATTCATAAAAAAATAACTTTAAAAAATAGAGCACTAATAATATACATATATTGTTCATTGTTTCTTGGGATTTAATATTATTATTATTTATTATTTTGCTAAATATCTTAACTTTTAATAATATTAGATTGAAAACAAATGTATACAAATATATTTAACTATTTTAAATTAAAATTTTTTCACTGAAAATCGCTTTCCAAATTCAAAAAAAAAATAATTAATTCAGAATCAGTCATCAAGACTACTCTCATCATAAATTATAATATTTGACATCCAAAAATAAATTTGCGAAACAAAAAAAAAGATTGGATTCAATACGCACTGTTTTGATATATTTTAAATAAAACTAAATATTATTAAAAGATTATTTGTCTCATATAGACTATACATATAATGTCTTAATCCGGGCTTGCATGCGAAATGTGCAAATACAATCAGCTCATTTATTACAAAAAAATATAATATTATTAAACCATATTTAATGTTATTTAATTCATGATATTACATCAAAATAAATTGTTAAGAATGTCTAAGTTTGGATCATGGTCGTTTGAGCAATGGGTGTAATAATTTTTTCCAAAAAATAAAGTCTATTTAGGCGAGTGGATTTTTTTCTGTGTAAATGATATACACGTATAATTTTATTTTATTAATTATTTTAATTTTATATACCTAAGTAATAAAATACAGCTATATTCACATTTAAAAAAATATATAAATATAAACGGGCGTCATTAATTTGGACGAATGACCCAAAATTTATTTGAGTAGAACATATATTATTGGGACGATAAAGTAAAAGATCATTTGGGAGAATTTATAAAATAATGAATAATATACCTATAGTTAGTAAAAACAAATGTGTGTGCCATATATGTAAGTCTAACTTATAAATATATAACTGTATGTAACTAATATGTATGTTGCGAGGGAGGTAACATGTCTATTCAACAATTTTTATACTTCATATATATTTTTAACCGTACCAGTTTAAGTTAACTGAAAGTCAAAAAATGAGGAAAAATTTTATATTAGTTCATATTAATTTCACTTCAGTGATATACGAGTATATAAATTCACCCTAACGAAATATTAGACATATTAGGAGGCTGTGTAAATTGCATCCAAATAATAAGTATAAATTGACTAAACGATATATTATTTTAGCTTATTCACCCAAATGAAAGCCGCTCGCATAAACATCATCCTAATTTATGCTTTTTATATTATAGTAGATAATATTATATTCATAGAGTAAATAGTCCCTATTTATTATTATATATAGAATAATACAAATAAAACGTTGATGAATTATAATATTATATTTTGTACCAAAAATATGACATAAATAATTTAGTATCATAAATACGATATAGCTATATTATAGATATATCGTAACATGTAACATAACTGAATAGTTCATAGTAAATTATAGGTAAGTACCTATTTATTTTTAAACTTAACATACTTAAATTTCAGGAATTCAAGAAGACCGTGGATTTGGAACAACTGTATCACACGTGTCATCAATTGCTCTAGAATCATTGGATTGTAATAACCGGATTTCGCGTATAGCCTAATTTAATACAATTTTTATTGAAAACCATTATTTTTATTTTTTATTTACTATACACATTTTTTCATACATGACGTTTAAGATATAAAGTATTTTTTTTAATACTTGTAAACGCATAATATTGTATATTTAATAAAAATAATATTAACTGCCTATAATAAAGCTAGTCAATATTAGTTCATGATTTAATCTAAAAAATCCAAAACATTTTTTTTTTTTTTTTTTAGAAATATGTAGCTATTATCACATATTTATATTTACATACAGTCACAAATATATTACCTGGCATGTATTTTATATTAACAATAAATTGAATATCACCGATTTTTATAACACCAGGTACATTAGTGGAAATCGGACTTTGTATAAATAAAAAATAAATAACTATATTATTAATACTATTCAAAAATTGTATAGGAAAGTACATCACTCATAATATAAAATATATATTATTGTTATTAAAAATAATATATATTTTTGATGAAAAAAAATTCCTAGTCTTCCTTGATCTGCTTACATGGCAACCATTTACAACAATATTTTTAAAATAAATTTTAAACACTGGGAAATTTGCTTCTTTGTATACTATTATGTAAATGTAATACTAAATTTCAAATAGAAACTCATAGACGCTTATAAAACATTATTGTGAATTGACATATTTTATTTTATTATTCATTAAAAGCAAACTGATGAGAAACCTTACATATAATTTTTGACCAAGCTAAAAGATTTTTTTTCAAAATTTATATAAACAGTTAAAATTTAAAATGTCTATGAAGTAAGAATGTAAGATATACTTCAAAAAGAGCTATTTCATGATATGACTCAAAATATTTTCAAAATTATAATATATAAATATAATGTTAATATAAACTGTTGGTGAAAATTTTAAATATCTATCGTTATTCATTTTAAAATACTACCTAAAAAAAACGATGTTATTAAAAACTATAAAGAGTTTTAAGTAAAAATTTCCGTTTTTACTAATTTATTTTTTTTTGTTTTTCCTAATTATTTTGAAAAGTAGGTACTAAGTATTTTTTATTTTGATCTACCAGACATACAAATTAAATTAATTTTCTTTTCCAGAAAAGATATTGAAGTTGAAATCTAAGCTTTTTTTCTACTATACGTTTATCGCGTAAACATATAAACAAACAAAACACATCATTGTAAAATCAATACATTCATCGCTTCATTCAAAATCTAAAAGGAATTGTACAATGTTAGCTTACAATAATAACATTGTACTCAATTTTCGCCCATACCCAGATTCTAACTTGTACGTGTATATTTTATTCATCGTAAATAAATGACAATTTACTATACGTATAAAATAGTAAATACATTAAACATAATATGATATCAAACAATTATTGTAGAATTATACATTTATAATATATAAATATAAAGTATTTCACTCTAAGTACTAGAAAAAACGTTAAGTTGGGTTAAGTTAGGCTAGGCATTAGATAAATTTAAAGTAATTAAAAAAAATTCTATTAAGAAATGCATAAATATTAGATGTATTATATGTATTTATGTAACCAGGGTTTTATCTGATATTATTTGATAGATAGTTATTACTTATTATACACGTTAAAATATAAATAAACATCCTTGTTTCCTACCTTTCTCAGAATCTACGAATACGGTTGATAACAGTCTAAACAGTCTAAACACCAAGAGTTAACTATAAACAGAATAATTATAGAATATAATAACTTATACAACTTATTATAGACAATTATTTATATACGTCAATATTTTAAATCATTACTAAATGTACAACTGAATTAAATATATTTTTATTTTTATTTTTTGATAGTTATACGTAGACGTAGGCATATAAAGTATGTATACAGATTCCCAAAAAAACAATACCAATCTCATTATAACGAAGTGACATAAAACATAAAATTAATAAAGCCACTTAATATCCTAATATTTTATAATAGTTAACTAAATGATAATATATTATATTACATATTATATATTATTTTACAAATATATATTATATAATATGGTAGGTACATCGTACTTGTGTTTTTACACAAAATATTACCTTGTTAGATGCATTCTCCAATAAACGTATAACTTTCTTCAAATATAACTGCAGATGAAAAAAATAAGTATGTTCAACTTGCAATTCTGACATAAGGATTAAACGTTTACCATAATTTGCACACTATACTATTATAAGAACTTATAACTTAAAAAAAAAAAAAACACCAAATACACCAAAACAAATATAATCACAAAATATTCTAATAATTAAATATTGCTAAAAAAAAAAATAAATTAAAGAATATTACGGTATAAAATATACTCTTATAGGTAAGTATATCTTGATTGCTATAATAAATATTTCTTCCCAAAATATGAGCTGAACACAATATGACGTATAGAAACGTGTATCAATGTATCTACATGGACGTATGACTAATAGTATAGGCGTGTCCGCGGAAGGAGAAAGCGTAATGTACCTATTGTTAAAGGTTTATAAAATCACGTTAAATCATAGTCCCTGGGTAATTTTTAGAATTGTATCTATTAGTTTAAACACAGATACATAATAATATTATTACATAATTTTTTGGTTGTTAATAAGGAAATCGCATATTATTATCAAAACAATATTAATTTTTTATAACAATTAAATTACCTATTATAAACATAAATAGTTACAAAACTTATTTCTGGTACCTTTATGCCAACATAGTAAGTTTGAATTTAATACATTTAATAAATCGTTGTAATTTTTAAGTTTATGAAAAAATAACTCTGAGCGAAGGAGACGAATAATTTGATCTTAAAACAAGTAGGTAAATCAAAAATATTATAAAATTGAGCTCGTATTTTTGATACCTATTTTTCAATTGCTGTAAGCATAACAACTTTTGAGAAACATTGTATATTTATATCACGTTTTCAAACCTTAGATACATTTTTAAATTGAAAATTTTAAGTTTTTAACATAAAAGAATTTGTGCATTTTGAAGATTTTAAATAAACTATCAAATAAAAGATAACTAAACGATTTTGAATCATTATATTATATTATGATGACATGTTATTGGAAGTTCGAGCAAAGCAAAAATATATTTTTTTTTTGAACATTTTTAAATTTTTTATTTACATTTTTGATTATCCCCGTTTATTTCAGTAGTAGTACTCGATAATCGGCTAAAAATTGAAACATTTGAAACCTCCATGAAAAAAATGTGAACATGTCGCAATGCAGTCATGATAAGAGTATATTATAATAAAACCTTACAAATTACAGTCATAATATCAGTGTAAAATATGTATTATTGCAACCAAAATACATACCATAATTATTATTATTTTATATTGCTAGATTTAATTTAATAATACGCATTGTATAAACTTTTGATTTTCTAAAGAAAAAATTATACCTATTGAGCATTATTAACTATTAGAATATACTTTATATGAATTTAATTAAATAATTTAAACACTTTGTAATAATAATTAAATAAGAAGAACGCACAGGTAACGAGTAGTACATGAACAGATTACTTTAAAAAATACACAATATACAAATTACAAATGTTAAGCAAAAAAATCATTTCTTCATAAATCACAAGTTCACGACATAAGAAAAAAAAGTTAACCGTAATTATAAAAAAAAAAAAACACTAGTCTTAAATTTAAATTTCGTTTGCTACCACCATAAACCTACCATGGATACCACGGTAACTAGTACATCTATTTACCAAAAACAAACCAGTGATGCCCTTATCTTTTTTTTTTTAATGATTATCATTTATTTGATAGTGATTTATGATTTAATGTTTAAGCATTATCTAAATATTCTAAATAGTAAATAGTATGAGCAAAATCCAAAATACTGTTGAATAGCTTGACAAAAATTTAATAATTGTTATTGCTTTTAAAACATTTAAACCATGCCGTTCATGAAAGGCGCTGCTCCGATTCGGAGAACTATACAATATTTAGAAGCTGGTAAGATAGTGTTTAAAGACCGAATTAAAATTGTATCAATTCACTACAATACATTGGGTGAAAACCATCGTGGCACCCGTGAATTTGTATTTTGGCACCTTCCTCAAATTCAATTCAAAAATCCCGACGTCCAAGTATTGACCCTTAAAAACATGACACCAACACCATTCATAAGGTAAGCATATTTTCTTACATTTTACCAATTAAACTAAACCTGTTATGTTATTAATTTATAATTTATTGTATATTTATTTAGATGTTTCATGAATGATGGTAAAGATGTGTTGATTGATGTTGATAATCGTGACAAAGATCGTATCCATGACCATGTTTTAGAAGTTCTTGGAAAACCAAAAGAAACTCTTAAAATGGAAGCCATGGCTAAAGAAAAAAAAGATAATATTGCCAATTTTGGATACATGTGTGAAAAACATTGTATGTGTGAAATTTTTGGACAAGTTCCGTGTCCAGCTGTTGTACCATTGCCTAAATCTTGGAGGGGCAAATACAAAAATGAGGAGTTATAATATTTAACACTTGGTTATATGTAAATACTTTTTTTTGATATATTAGGATTTATAGTCACAATAAAATGGAGTTTTTCTCATAAACTGTCATATATATGATTTGTATTTTATCATACCACAAATATTATTTAATACATAGTTTTATCCTTTTCTAAAAGACTGTTTCATACATTTTTAGGTTATCACTCATTAAAATCACCACTTTTTTCAATTTTTTTTTTCTGACAGTCAATTTAAATTATTTAAATGTTTGCATGGGGATATGTTTAAAAGACAACCATGTTATGTAACTCTTATTATTTACTTATGTTGTATAGCACAAGTGAGACTGTCTTCATTACTGTAATTGATCTATACTTTTTATTAAAATATGTAAACTGTAATCATCAATATTTTTATATGAATAGATATCAAATTAAATCTGTATTGCCTAATATAAGCCAATTTTTTTGCAATCAATTTAAGAAAACACTTTAAAAATTAAGTTCTCTTTATGAACTAAATTGTATATTTTTATATAACAGTAATTTTTCTTACTGCTTCTCAAAGATAATAAACTGTATATAAAATGATTTTTGATTTAACCGATTGTTATTTGCTTTGCAATAACATACACAAATCTAAATTTAATTTTAATTATCTAAAAAAATATGCACCAATTCTTTAAATATTTAGAAAATAATATACAAATAGATCAAAAATTAAAAATTAAATATTAAGAATTCCAATAAAGAGAGCAGTGGTATAAATAGAAGAATGTATGTAATGTGGTTGCATTAGAACACAGAATATTGGAGTACTTTTAATTTTCCAAAATACTGTATTTTTTTTTTTATTGTTATCAAAAATATTTGTATTAAAAATTAAAAGTAATAATAATCAACTATAATATCTTTTTTTAATATTATAGGAATACCATTTTGATGTAATGTTTATGTAATATAGTATTTATAAAATTTCAATTATTTTTGAAAATAAAAGAAAAAGTTTTACTAAAATACCCTTAAGCTTGCACAAAAACATAGGGTTGAAAATCTAAGAGTTATTTAAAGCAAAAATTGTTTTTACACTTTAGACATTGTAACATTTCAAACAAAATATGAATATGTAGGACTAAAAAAGGTTTCAAATTTGTTTTTATTTTTAACAACTATAATAATATTGATTTTAAGTGATAAAACAATATTCATATCATTTCTCTAAATTGTTATTGATCAAATTATGGTTTAAATTTTAGTGTAAAAACATTGAAAAGCAAAATAGAAAAATTTTAAATTTTAAAATAATTTGCCAATTTATTAATTATTTTATTAACTATACTTGTAATGGTAGCTATGGCTGAGCAATTATTTTCCAAATTAAAAATCATCAAAAATTACTGAAGGAATTCAATGAGGCAAAAACAACTATCAAATACAACTTTAAAGAACATAGAAGATGGAGAAATAGAACTTATGAACATTTCACAACTTATTTACAATTTTGCAAATCAGCAATAATTTTAAAAGTTCATATAGTAAAATGTTAATTGTTAACATATATAACTATAATTTGTAAATAAATTATTTATATATATATGTGTATGTGTGTGTGTGTGTGTGTGTGTGTGTGTGTGTGTGTGTGTGTGTGTATAATTAGTTATTTAATAAAAAAAAAGACAATAAATTACTCTATTAAGAACATAAACCTATTTATTATTTAGTTTAATTTTTTTTGTATCTAAACTGAATAGGAAAGTGGCCTCTAAAGTTTTTTGCATTGAATATAAATTCTTAAATTTACACTACCTACTGAAAAAGAGATAACAAAAAATTCATAATTATATAATGTTTTAAGTATTTAAGGTCATGAAAACAAAACTAAACACTAACTTTTGGGTAGGTCCACACAATTTTACTGTAACAATAACAGTCAAATCAACAGAAAAGCCTTGAGGTATACAAACTCAATTTTCTTTATGCTATGTCTGTAATGAATTACCGTTTAGTTATCTGACTTTTCTCTCTTACTATAAACAATTTTTCTGATTTTATTATAAATATCTTGAAGACCATTAACCTAAATACTTCATTCTTCATCAACATAGTTTTACGCTTTTACATTATATTTAAATTTTTAATTATTGTATTGTAAATTAATTTATGTTATTCTTTCTAATATTTATCCAAATCATTTAATTTTTTTTAAATATAATGACCTGAAAATTATACATATATAAATAGTTGTAAAATAAATGTATTTTTTGTTTAATTAATAAATGATTATTGTGTATTATATTAATACAGTACCTAGTTCCTGCTATGAACTTACAGTAAAAGGACTCGTTCACTTATTGGACTCAAATTTACATATTTACTAAAAAATAGGAAACAATTTGTCAAGTGCACTTACTATTTAGTTAATGAGGTAAATATGTATCTTTAAGTATACATTAAATATAGAAATTTGTCAGTTAATTTCCTCGATTTTATCTCATATATTTTGTCCTAAAATTACCACATTGAATAGTAGATATTTAAGTTTTTAAAAATACTTTTTTTTTACATAGGTAATTTAAAGTCATTACAAAACAATAATTTTGAAAAAAAAATATATACCTACAAAATAAACATAAACATAATATAGTTAATAATGAATATTTATTAGGTAACCAAATTAATTTCATTTTTTTTATTAAACACGCATAAAATATAATTATTTTTTTATTCTTGAACCTCTTGTGCTCATGGCTCAATTGATTAATGGACACAAAATGTCAAATACTATCTATGGTCCAAAGTAAGGCTAATAAATAGCAACATTGCCAATTATAAATGATCACTTGCGTTAGCAAAATCCAAATGAGGTAGTTAAACCAAAAATTCACTCACTTCATAATCAATACCTGTTCAAATATATTTGTACTATTTATTGTAAAACTTTTTGATAGTGACCTGGAAAAAACTTCTATGTAGGTAGGTAATTATTTCTAATAATTTTAAATTTTGTATATAGTTATTTAAATTCAAATAATAATTTGTATGTAGGTAGGTACCTATTAATTCAGATTTTATTTATAAATTATTTGTTAAAGTAATCAAATGATGCACCTATTAAACATTGTTTCAAAAACTAATATTTGTTTAGTTTTTTGTAAGTTTTAGCTACCTACTTTAAATTCAATTATTTTTTTGATTAGAAATCTAATCATTTTATTCTACCTACTTTTATATAGGTAGATTATATTGAATAAAATAAAATATAAAATGTATCTTAGGTAGGCACCTATTATTAGGTATTACATAGTAGTAGGTACACTAGTACCCACCTATTTGAAAAAAATCCTTTATATTTCCAAATTCTTGTAAAGCATCACTACTATATATAGAAATTAATAATTAGTGAGCATGATAATAGATAATCTATACCTTATTTAGGTAAAATTTTGGTAGGTAACACATTTTACACGGTTAGATAATTAGACTTATTTTAGATTTTAGACAGTTCATTCTCAACTTTACTATTGTAATTTGTAAGTCATAATATTGTACACCAATTTTAACATAAACCTGACTTGCTGACTATGTATATTATATATATATTTTTTTTTTTTTTTTCATAACAAACTTTATCAACTACCAAATATCCATCAACTGAATCCATCAACTTTATCAACAAAATATATACCTACTTATCATTTCCCTGTTATATACTTATATCTGATTTGTAGCACTCAATCCCAAAATCGTTTTTATAAACACTATAAATCATAGTTAAAAAGATACTATTGATAAATAATTCTATTGGACCACCGATGTCTTGTCTCTTGTCTAAATTCAAAATTGACAGTTGAATTCCGAAATACATGAACAGTTTCAAACAATTTTGTTTTTGTTTTTTAATTTGCGTTTCCGCGGGCAACATTCAATTTTTTTACCATTACTAATTACCATGGCGATAGTGGATAATCACTGATATATTTGAAGAAGCTGAGTTATTTTGTTATTACTTTGAAAAGACAAATCCCTTTATCCAATAAATTTTACCCATAGTGTACGATGTACCGATCGCCGATGTTCCTGCAGGCTGCAATAAATCGTGCGGAGGCCGGAGGGTTAGAAGTTAGAACTTAGAACATTAGAAGTACCCACCTATATAGTTAGCGAAGGTCTACGAAGTATTAAAACAAAAATTGCTTATAGCAGCGTCATCTAGTGGCAAAAAAAGAGTAGCAGCCGCAGGAGGTTTCATTGCGAGCCCGTCGAAACGTTTAAAATGACGGCGGTAGATCTCGCTGCTGTTATCATCCAGACGTATTGCCGATCGTAAGGCCGTAGGGGAGACTTACTCTAATGCTTCATACAAGCCCGGATTAAGGGGGGGGCCAAGGGGGGCACAGTCCCGGGGCCCATTGATTTTGAGGGCCCATCTTTATTTGTAAAATATATGTTTTTAATACATTTAAAATAGTTATAAAGAATTTTTATACTTTTTTTGTTCTTAATTTTATATCACGAAAAATTACTAAATGATAATAAATATTAAAATTATATTCTAATAATTGATAACGTATATATGGTAATAATTGATATTAGGCATTTTTGATCTATTCGCATAAGGTACCCATATAATTTATATATGATAAGACGTTTTATTGTCCAGTCCATGTTTTTATTATCTAAATATGGAGGCAATATAATTAATCTAACTCTAAAAATAGAATTTTGTGAAGTCCAAAAGAGTATTAAGAATTGTATTTCTACATATAAAAATGATGTTGACTCTTCACTTGAAAATGAAATTATTCAATTTCAAACATTTTTACATTTAAGTAAAGTAACATTTGATGAAAGTGATGCATTTAGTTTATTAAAATGGTTCTACGAAAAATCATTGCAGGAAGTATTCCCAAATATTTTAATTGCTCTTAGGTTATACTTAACTATCCCAGTGGCCAATTGTTCAGCCGAAAGAGCATTTTCAAAATTAACAAGAATAAAAAATAAATATAGAACAAGCCAGACTCAGGAAAATTTAACATCTTTAATGGTATTGTACTCTGAAAATGATATTTTGAAATTGATTGATTTTAATGAAACGATTCAAAAATTCGCT